GCCCCAGAACGTCTGTCTGGATCCCACATGAGGGCATCGAACCCTTAAGACGGACCCACAATGGACCGAACGAAGCTACACCCAACCCTCCCTGGCCTCCGGGTGTGCCACTAGGATGCTGGCTCAGAGGGAAGTGCCAGGAGACCGGACGCGGAAGCGGAAGGCTGACTTTATCCCCCACAAGGGTGTTTTGATTTTGGTTTCTAGAATCTCCCAGGAGGCCAAGCGCTCTCCTGAGGCTGCCCAGCCTTCGCCAACCCAAGAAAACAAAATCGAGCCATTACCTCCTGTCGGGAACAAATCTCGCCAGAAGGACAGGCTTTCGGGGACTTCCCTGTCTTCCTGGGCGCTGGGCCACTGGGAGGGCACTCACTGGGCATGTGGGGGGCCTCGGGACACTGGTCAGCTGCTTTTTAACCATGTCTGGGAGCTGGGAACGTGGAAGTCAAAGCTTGCCCCTTCTTCCCTGTCTGTCTGTCTGTCTGTCTCCCTCTCCGGCAGTGGCCTGTTGTTGAATTAACAGTGATCCTAATGAGAAAAGCCCCGTGGCCGACTGCGGCTTTGACCTTTGTGCCGTCCTGGGGCCGGCTCTCCTTGGCCTGAGGAGACCGAGGGCCGTGGAGGAATTCACAGAGAAGGAGGCCTTCGCTGGCCTGGGCATGCGGTAAAGGCCACAATCTGTCGCTGGCTTTCCTATCTGCTTCTGGAAGTTTCTGCCTCACGCAGAAAGGGCAGAGCATATTGACTGTACTTGAGAGTCCAGAAGATTCCACGGGTCAGAGGAAAGGTGGCCTCGTGGCCTCTTGCTGTGTCTGGTTCCACTGGCCCAAGGAGCAGCTCTGTCCCTCCGGAGGAGGGGGGAAGGCAGACATCCCCCTCCTGTTCACCAACAGGAGCCCGAACTTCTGAGCGAGAAAGGGAGACCCACGAGTGAACAGCGACCAAAAAATCAGAGAACATCCATTTCCCACGTGGTTATTAATCACGATTTATTGCAGATAAATACCGGGAGAGCAAGTTGCATTCACTCCCTCGTCTTCAAAAGTAGCAGAACAGCTCCCACGATTCCTATCATGGTGATTTATTCCGCTTCCTGAAAGGGCTCAGCGAGGCGGTCTGCACGAAGGGCCGGGCTCTGCTTTCCCTCCTCCTCACGAGACGGACGTCTTAGCACTTTGGAACCCAGGAGGCGGGTTTTCCCGTGCGACGTTTTTTTTCCCAACCCTTTTTCCACCTCTGGAAGCCAGCAGAGAACATGGAAGCATGTCCGGGTTCAGAAGAAGAACTTTCTGGAACATGGGGCTTACCCTCTTTTATATAAAACACGTGCTTTCTAAAGATACACCCTTTCTTATTTTTTGAGACTTGGTAATCTAATCTCGAGCAGTCAGTCGTCTGTGATCCCGGTAGCTGTCGTACTTAGAAATGACAAGCAAATTCTTACCTCAGCCACCTGCTCACAGACTCCCTGGGCGGACTCGGCCCCGAAGAGTTCAATTCCGGGTCATGGTTATTGCCATCCTCCTTTCGTCCCCCGAGAGGAAATCCCCACCTGTCCCGGCCCCAGTGGACTGCCCTGTGTGCTGGCGAGCCGAGGCATGGCGTGCCAGGCCCCCTGTGCTTGCTCAGAACCCTTCCTCCCGTCGAGGTTGGCTTCGTGTGGTGGTTTGTCCCAGCATGTGCAGCAGTGACTGCTGGAGCGTCAGGGCTCGTGGCCCGCCCCTGCTGTGGGCCCCCCCATCCCGCCATGCCCCTACCCCGGCCACCTTCGCCCCTCCACACCGTGACACCATCTTTCCGGGCGAGAAGGAAGGGGGTGAAATCTAGAGACCCATCGCCCAGCAAGGCCCCGAGACCCTTCCTCTGTCACCTCCAAAAGCAAGGCAGCCTTGCTGTTCCTTCCACATAAGCCCCTCCTCCCCTGCTGCCCCAGAAGTTTCCATCATTTCATGGAGAAAGCTGTGTTCCAACGAAGCCTACCTCTTGCCCAGTCCCAGGCAGAGAATGCAGAGCCCACTCTAGGGGCCGAGAAAGAGTAAAAGAAGCGACGAAGAACAGGGAGCAGAACCACCTCAGACCCCTGGTCTCCGCAGCCTTTCTCCACGCCGCCCCAGACTCCGAGAGGGGCCCTAGTCTTCGGTCTGCCCCCTCCTCCCCCTGGTGTCTCAGCCGGAGCTTGCCCAGGGAAGGGAGAGGAGCTGGCCCCCTGCCGCCTGTCACTCCAAGACCTTGCGCCCGCGGGGCGATGCGGTGGCCTGTGCCCACCCCTCCCCTCCCCAACCAGCCCCTGTGTGTTTTGCCAACTAAGCACCTGTGAATCCTGTACCTACTACTGGTTTTGGGTTAGTTGTCTTTTTTTTAATTAAATAAAAACATTTTTAAAACATTCTCTTCTTGATATGGGGGTGGAGGGAGAGGAAGAGGAGCAGAGCTCCCCTCAAGTCTTTGCGGGCAGTTAGGGTAAACGCTGTGGACCTCCCAGAAGAAGAGGGAGGGAGGGTGGATTTTGAGCTGGTCAGGGCCAGTTTCTCTGGCTTTAATCTGGGCCGCTGGCCACCTCCCTAGCACCACCGGCTGGTTTTAGACTTCTAGGTGGTGCTGTAGAGGTACTTTTTCACAGGTGGGCCAGAAGATGGACAGGCCAGCCCCCCGGTGTGGTGTGGGCATCTGGGCAGCTGAACAAGCCAGGCCTCAGAACCTGCGGGTGGAGGCCAGACAGACCCACGGCCTCAGAGGCCCCAAGCTTCTTGCTGGGACTCCTAAGAAGTCCCCTCACCAGCTTCCTTTCCTCTCCAAAATCTGAATGATTAAGAAATAGAGGGACCCGCGTTCCAAATGTGAGCTTTATCACTGACAAAGCTGGACGGGAGAATGTGGCCCCAACCAGAGGCCAAATGAGACCAAGCCACAGCAGGAGTGAGGCAAAGAACGGAGGGGCCAGAGGGACCCCTCTGATCGGGGCGATAGTGACGAGCCGCACAGACCCCGCTGGTCACAATGTAACCCGCCAGGTTCGGCCTGGCAGGTGGGCACTGGCTAGATGTCCACCCTACTCTCTTGGAGGCTTGAGGATAATCAGTGTCCCCTAGTTCTACCTGACCTGCAGCCCAGGGCACCTTCCCAACCAATGACACGTTCTCATCTCTTTTAGGACTAAGACCCTGAGTTCTTTTACTTCCAGAGAGCCACCTGCTTTGCTGCCTCTCCTGGAACCAAGAGGCACCAACTCTTGAGCCTCACAAAGGCCTTTCCAACCCTGGTCTCAGCAAAGGGAGGCCGAGGGCCAGTGTCCTCACTTCCTCCTGCCTGAGATGAGCACCTGAGGAAACTGATGTCCCAGATGCATTGAGCCCCCAGGTCCCAGGGTGAAGAGACCTTATGCCCCACCCCACCGACTGACCCCCTGCCAAGCTCCAGGCTGATGGCTTCATCAGCCTGGAGTCAGCACTATCCAGCATTGGCGCCATGTGCCAGGACTTCTGTGAATGCTTTGCTGCCATCCTGGTAGACTCCCGTGGCAGTCGGCATTAGCAGCGCGGCACAGCCTCTGATGTGGGGCTCATGTGGTCGCTCCTGTGTTTTGTTCAACTAAAAACTCTGTCTCCATAATCTTCAGAGTTAGATCCACAATAACTGACACAGAAGTGGATGTCCCAGTTCCCTAACCAAAATGCCACTCGGAGCCCCCATTCTGCCCTTCCCTTGTACCACTTAGAGTAGGCTAATGATATAACCAACAACCCCCAAACATGAATTGGCTTAATACAATAGAAGGTTATTTCTCACTTATAAAGTTCGACCAACTGGGGGCGGCAGGGCAGAGCCCTGTTCCACACAGTCATTCAGGGATTCAGAGGCCCACGCTCGGGAGGCTCTGCCATCTTCAATAAAGGCTTCTAAAGTTGCCCCTGGCATTGACATCCAAAAGGCAGATGGAGAAGGGAGAGGGCAAGTGACCTTGTGAGTAGAGAGTCTTATGGGAGAATTTACTGGACCAGGAAGTCGTGACTTTCCCTTCTGCCCACATGCCATTGGCCAAAACTCAATAACACAGCCACATCTAAGAGTCAGGGAAGATGGGAAATGTGGCTCAGCCCAGGTGAAAGGAGAAACAGTTTGGGGGCCAGCTGGCCAGTCTCAGGTCCCTGGCCTATGTCTTTCTGTGCGTCCTTCCTTAGCTGCCCCCTCCTTATCTTTTTGGGAGTGCCTACTTGAAATGACACCTTTGTCTGGGACTATATCCATCTCTGTGTGACCTGAGCCCCTCCTTCAGCCCCAACATGAAGGGAGAAACCACTAGCCCATTGGTTCTCAAGTGGGGGCGATTTTCCTCTCCAGGGGACATTTGCCAATGTCTGAAGACATTTTCCTTTGTCACAACTTGGAAGGCAGGTGCTACTGGCACTTACTGGGTAAAGGATAAAGATGCTGTTATATGTCCTGCAATGTGCAGGACAGCGGCACCGCCCCCCTTGACCCGCACCCCCCGCCAGCCGGCAAGAATGATTCGGGCCAAAGTGTCAGGCTGAGGAGCTGTGCACCGGCCTGATTTTACAGTACGGGGAGCTAAGGCACAGAACGGTGAGGTCACTTGCGCGAGATCACCGGCAGCCTTTTGGTGTGCGCATCTGGGCGGTGGACACATTAAGAAAACTCGTTGCTTTATTCCCGGTATTTCCTTTCCCGGAACCACATTCCAGTTTCTGCTTCTTTCTTCTTCACTTTCGAGTGGCAGTTTTGGAATAGAAGTTGGGGGTTAAAGAAGGACATGGGGAAGTGGCCCCCTGTCCTGGACTGGGGCAGGGGGTACCTTTGTCTCTGGGTTTGGGAGCAAAATTCAACCCAACGGGCCACAGGAGAAGCCCAGAAACCCGGCCCGCTGGACACCACTGCTCTGTGGCATCCTCCGGGGCTCACGCCCCGGCAGCCGCAGTGAGGTGGGCCGTGAGGTGACCAAGAGCCAGAAAGACAGGGATCAGATCCTCCAGGCACCCTCAGGCAGCGCCGGGCAAGTCACCCACCCTCTCTGGGAGCCCCAGTTTGCCTCCTCAGTCAAATGAGGAAGGTGAGACCTCCCTCCCAGTGGAGCAAACGAAACTTTCCGGTAAAGAGAAACATCGTAAATACTGCAGCTCAGAGGCTGGCATCAGCGTGAGCTTTCGGGAGTGTGTGTTGACTAACGATACTCAAGGAGTTTTCCGAAGTGGATTGTTCTAGATCAGACCCTGGAGGGGTGCTCTGAGAGCCAGACCTAGGGTACTGTGCCCATAGCACTTCTGTTTGGGAGCAACCTGTCATCCAGTGGGCTGGGTACCAGGTGACACCTCCCTTCCCTGAAAAAGGTCCTTCCCCAGCTGCCTCTCCTGCCGATCCCCGTTCATTTCCGCCCTCGGTGGTCCCCAGCTGTGGAGTGGTGGTGCTCAAGACAGCCACATGGCTGCTTTCCTTGCAACCCCCAAACCCCGCTGGGGTGTCCCCGATTCCACACAGGTGAGGCAGGCTGCACGAGCCGAGTCCTGAGCACGCTCAGGTGCCCTGAGAGCCAGGACGCACAGAGGTGGGTCCTGTTCTGGGTCCTCGGTGTGGACCTGCCAAAGAGGAGAGGCCTGGGGGTGGCGGGGTGGGGGCCGGGTGGGAGCCTGGAGGGGAGGCCTTCCCGCAGGGAGCT